GGCCATAAGAGGGAGCCAGAATGACTCTTAGCTCTCTGTTCGTTAGATGCTGGGCTGATCTGATCTAAGTGGTTTTGGAAGCTGGAAGTGCCATGAGCTGTTCTATGTTTTGCAACTGCTAGCAAACTTTGAGTATGGAACTGATTATATGATACTGGACTATGTTATTTGGATTATCCCTTAACTGAAAGACATTGATGACTGACTTGTCTTATCCGTGTATGACTTTTGACGGTTTGATGGACTCTGATACCTCTATTTCCATGAAAGTAAAAGCCTATTTAAACTGCAGTGTCTCTGTATGCTGGTTTGTGTATTCTCCAACACAACTCTCACAACGCTTCGCTGAACGTACTCGCTCTCCCAACGGGGAGCTTACCTAACAGAACCATTGAGTATTTCTGAAATAGCTAACCCATAAACATGTGGCAGAAATAGCAGAAGTATATTAAAAAAATATCTATTAGATCTGTAAGAAAGATTTAAAAGACTTCACCTCCACACTCCAGATGAAAATGAAAATACTCCAGGTCCATCTGCAAAAAGCTATACGCTGGTACCTAATAAATCAGTTGCAAGGTTTTCAAAATTTGAATGAAACAAACATCTAATGCCTGCCAATCCTGTTTGCAACTCCCACTTCAGCAATGAAGACTCCACGTTAGAACATGAAATATCTTCATTTTGGTGCAGTAGAAATGTCTAGTTTATGCAATATTTTTTCACACGTTTTATGTAAATACATTTTTATATAAAGAGGCAAACGTGTTATTTTGATTAGTGAATACCTCAAAGTTAAATGTCCTTCGTACAAGCTTCATTATGAATGGATATCGTTCCCTCCTAAGGTAAACGTCTTACAGCCTCAATTTTTTGAGGGTTACCTACAAATCAGGTTTGACTCTTGGCAAATGACTGGACAAGTCCCTGCGGTTTTCTTGGCAACGTTTTCGGAAGTGGATTGTCATTGCCTGCTACCTAGGGCTGAGAGAGAGGGACTGGCTCAAGGCCACACTAACCGCCACCTCCTTTCTAGTCTGGCACCTTAACCACGACGCCAAACTGGTTCCCTTATAACCTCAATTACCAGCGGTAATATTACAACTGAATAGCGCAACGCTTGCAGCTAATTCATAAGTAAGCCCCGGAACTCAGCGGGTTTTTAGTTCTTAATAAATAAAAATTACGCAATTTAGTGATTTTTTTTTTTTAAAAAAAACTGCCTTTCAAACTTGAGAATCGTCTTGACGGTTTGGTTCCCTCTATCACAAAATGTTTTGCATTAACTCCTCACCATATTCCCCTTTCTTCGAATCTTTGCTTACAGGCTCTAACCCCCCCACACAAAAAAAGCAAAGCGACCCGCTAAGTTTCCCGACGTGATGAAACCACACTTTCTACCATCTTAAAACGCCCACAAAAACCGCTCCGAGCCCAAAATGGTAGCAACGGTCACGTATTCGCCCCCACCACCCCCGGTCCGCGCATGCGTTTTTATCTTTCCTTCCTTTCACCGGGACAAAGGCGGGGGAAAGGGGTGGTGGAAAGAAGGTAGTTACCTTCGACGTCCGCAAGGGAGCGGAAGCGAGCGTCGAGAAGTTTCAGCTCCTGAATCTGGGTCAACCAGGTGCGTATCAGCCAAGCGCCTGCGCGGAAAAAACACGTTGGTGCGTGGGGGGAACTGCTGTCAAGCGGCAACGCCCACTCCAGCCCGTAGTCGCGGAAGTGGGTCTCGGGTGGCGTCGTGTCCTTTGCGCCCCCCTGTCTCTTCTCAGCCGCTGCGCTGCCTGCATCCCGGCGGACGAGGAGCGGCCATCGACGTAAGTTGAGGGGAGGGGGCAGCTATCACTCTAGGCGAGGAGATCTGGCTTCTGCGCCAGAAGCCTGGGCCTGGCTCTGGGTCCGCGGAGGCCGGTGAGGTCAGCAGAGATTGGAAAGTAGAGAAGGAGCCCCGGGACGCCTTTGGACAGCGACAGTGGGCTAGGAGGTCCGGGTAGCGGCGGGGACGTAACTCGGGTGGGAAGCTTCCTTTCTGGTGTTGATCAGCCTTCCTTGCCAGGCTTCCCGGACCAGGTTGCACTCTGGCTTGGCGGCTGTCGGTGGATGGTCAGGCAGGTGGTCTATCCCTAGGAAGAGCTTGGGGTGGGGTGGGGGATAATTTCAAAGTCGTGGTTTGCAAACGAGGGCTGGACGGTTATGTGGCTCATCTGACGCCTATTATCATCTTTGCGAAGATTTGTCCCCGCAGGAGAAAAACTTTGATGCAGGTAAAACGGTAAACCCAAAAGGGAGGAATGAAATGGGGAATCTCTTGCCTAGAGGCTCTTCCTGGACACCTGTTTTTTTTTAATAGCTGTTAGGCAAATGATTAAGGCCAAAGCTGTGAGTTTTGAGTGAGATGGTGACATATGCATACAATAAAAAGATTATAGTGTCAGAAACCTAATTAAGTGTTGAAGAAGTGACAAGGAAGCCTCCCTGGGGCTCATGGAGAAAAAAAAAGTCAAAGAGTAGCCTAAATAAGTAATTGTCATCCATAGTCTGTGATTCATTATGAACTGAAAATCTGTTTGATGTAAAATTCCATGTGTGTGGGTATGCTTCACGCAGCTGTTTGTAAACACTTGTACAGCTGCTAGACATAACTGCATTTACACACACACACACACACACATAACCTCTGGCCAGTGCATCTTGAAGATGGGTTAAGAGGATACGTGGGTGCTTTCATTTTCTATGTCTTTTATTGCTACAAAGGTTAATGGTGCTATCTTTTTAACAGTGCCATTGCACGGTATTATTTTGACATGTATATGCATATACAGAGACATATACATATATATAAACATTTTCATCATGAAAGAATACGTCTAATATGGTGGCTACAGTTTGTTCTGGCAGGTTTTGAAAAGGTGCAAATGAAAGAATAACATTGCAAATTGGAGTATGCAAACAGACTTTGAGAGAAAATTGTGCTTAGTTTATCAGTGTCAATATATAATTGGATGTAATTTGTTTTAAAAATGCATTTTCTAATTTTTTAAACTGAAATTGCCTTTTTAACACAAATTCTAGTTATTGAAGATAAACAATT